GATAACATCTGGCTTTGCTTAGCAGAAGATGCATCAGCCAGCCTGTCTTCTCCCAGAGCAGCATAACCGTGGTAGTAGAAGCAAGAGGAATGGCTCTGTTTACTGTGCAGTGTGGACCGTGCAGATGGTGAATGTTATAGGAGACTGAAAGAACTGATCAGTGTGTATCTGCACCCATACCCTGCACTGAACAGATTCAGAGCTGCTTGTATGCTGCTATGCTGTTGTCAGTGGCTGATAAGAGATTGGTCTTCTGCAGTGAGAGATGTGTGATTGTGAAAAGCCACGCTAAGACCTAGGTTCCATTTCCAACACCATGAAGTATCTTCTTAATGCAGTGGTAGACAGAAATCTCCTGTGGTGTTCCCTGTGGGCAGTGGTGAAGTTGCAAGGTGGGAAGGAAGTTTTGTTGACTGTTACAAACCGAGAGCATTCAAAGGAAAGAATTCCTCTGAATTCTCCCACATGAAAGTGGAGAGGGGTCTGCCCACAGGCCAGCACTACCTGTGAAGGGGTTTGAAAGAGGAATCAGTTCTTGAATCTCAGCCTCAGTATGTAAGCATGAACGGATCTGACAGATTTAATTTTAGGTAACAGCCTGGCTTTCTGCCCAGTCATCCTTTTTAAGGCATCCGGGGTGATAGAAATGTGTTTGACACAAACTCAGCCCAGAGGGTTATACACTGTGTTCAGTGGGTCCTAAAAAATGTAGGCTAGTCAAATCCTGTCTGTCTGCCGCCTCATGCTGTCCGTGCTCTGTAGAGAACTAGTACATGGGTATCTGGGCTGGGACTAGGGCTTCCTGTACACGTAAATAACAATAAAATCAAACCTAATTCAGGCCAATATTTTGTGTTTGCAGTACCCTGGTTGTGAGGAAGGGGAAGCCGGAAGATGTGATCAGTGATCTGATTACTCAGTTGGGCTCTGTCAGTGCTGTTGCCTTCCATGAAGAGGTAATAGAAATATTTGAGTGACATTGTTAAAAGACAAAATTAGGTTGTGGAAGTTTCTTCCTCAATCCAATGGTGATGCAGATCCTGTGTGTTCAGAGCCTTGCTTGTCTACAATACTGTTAACCTTCGGGAAACTGGCTAGCTCCTGGGATGGGGATGGTGTAGATGTCTGGGTGGGAGTCCTTGAGGGGTGACACCAGCTATTTGTGATTGGTCACTTGCAAGTGCTGTGTCTTGAGGAAGAGGAGTTTCTGGCAACTGGCATTTTAGGTCAGCTGAGTCCATTTCTCCTCCTGTTTGCATCAGGCTGCCTTTTCCTGGCCCCTTCCTTGCACAGGGTGCTAGGTGCCAGGGGACATACTGTATCGAGTGTAGAAAAGGTCCACAGTGAGTTCACAGCACCCATATTTAGGCAGTTGCCCACCAATGTGTCGAAGAATGGAACATGAGTCCGGTCTCGGACTGCCGATGGGGTTGGGGTGTCACTGATCTGTCTTCACTGAGGTAACTAACTGGTTTGATCCAGAGCCTGCTGAATTCAGTGGAAGGCTCTGGATCCAAACCACTGGGCCTGGAGACTGCGTGTACACACACGCATACATATATGTGTACGTGGATGCACTCAGAATTAGCAGAGTCTGGGCCTCAGAGCTGTCTAATGCAGGAATCACTCTGTGACCTGCTCTGCGGGTATTTCTGCTGTCAGGCCCAACACCCTTGTACCTTGACAACCTAGACATCCCACAGTGCCTTACTCCATGCAGCTCTAAGAACAACCACAGAAGATCAGACAAAAGGCCTCATCTAACTCCATAGCCTTTTTCCTGACAGTGACCAATAACAGATGCCCAGAGAAGACCACAACAGGACAAATCTGTAAAGATACTTCCCCTGCATACTTTCCCAGGCTCCCAAGAATCTGTGGCTCAAGTACTTCTTGAAACAGGAATGCTATCCTGATACTCAGTAACCCTCAGTGGATTTCTTTTATGTGTATTTGTCCGGTCACCTTTCCAGTCCATGCAAACTTAAAAGATCTGCAATGTTCTACATCAAGGAGTTCCTTATTCTGGTGTTGGCACTACTAATGGAGAGTGAAAACAGTTGTTGGGTTTGGTAGAGGGAAATACTTAAGAGATTGTCTGTGTGCACCTCTCTCTAAGGCATGAAGCTAAATGTGGAGATGAGGGAGAAGGGAAAGACCAGGGACCAGGAGCTGTGTGCATGCGGGAGCTGAGGCTGTGCAGCCATGGCCTCACTGCATTTTGTTATCCCAAGGCCACGAAGGAGGAGCTGGATGTGGAGAAGGGGCTGTGCCAGGTGTGTAGTCAGCACGGGGTGAAGATCCAGACATTCTGGGCATCCACGCTGTATCATCGGGACGACCTTCCCTTCAGGCCTATTGCCAGGTGGGCTGCTCCATGGTATCACTCCCTCCTCCACTGTCCCATTCGCTTCTCACTCCAGTGAACTGCTCAGGAGGGATCTTGGTCATTCGGTCCCACATTAGTCTATTGGCAGTTACGGAACAGTGCTGTCACTCTCATACGCATCAAGGGCAAGGGGCACATTCATCCCTCTGCACTAGTAGGATTTACGCTCCAATATGCATAAAACCGAGGGGTTGGTTTGACCATTTCTTGAGGGACTGATTTCTCTTTGCCTTTCCACCAGTACAGTTTGGATACTCAATCTGCAGTACATACAGTCCTTGTGACATTGGACTGGATTGCTCCATTACCCCATCTGGCTAAATGTAGCTGCCTATGACAGCGTGTGGACTCTTCCTGGCTCCCTCAACAGTCACTTGAGGTGTAGTTGATGGAGTTGGGTGATTCGTGGTATCCTATAGAAAATGTATAAATATGGCAGAAGAGTCAGGCCGTAAATCTGCCTGTTTCTCTCTATTGACTGAAAAGGCAGCAGGAGTTGCACATTTTAATATTGAGGTCAGCCTTATGGGTAATCACAAGTTAGGTGAGATAAATCTGATCCTCATGGATTGCCCCATCAGGACACACCAGAAATTGCAAAGGCACTGTTTGCATCAGAAGCAGAAAGAAATTGGGTGAAGGACTGAACTTCCGATCGCTGCTAGCCCCAGGGACATCTACCTCTATTGTGCCAGGCAATCACAAAATGCATCGCAAAACATGCATCACAAATATGCACTCCTCAGGAGGGCGCTGCCGGGAAAGCTAACCCTCCCTCTGTGGAAGCCATGTGGTGCTGTGTGGAGGGGTCGGGTAGCCATCCTGCGGAGATCTGACTGCACTGCGATCTGTGCAGGTTGCCCGATGTCTACACCCATTTCCGAAAAGCAGTGGAATCTGAGGCGAAGGTCCGGCCAACCCTGCTGATGGCAGATCGGCTAAAGCCTCTGGCTCCAGGGGTGGAAGAAGGATGTGTCCCTACAATGGAGGATTTGGGACAGAAGGGTAAGAAAACTTAATTTGGCAGTTGCTCCCATGAAATCCTACTTAGAAATGTCTCTTACTGAGAATCGAAACATGGAGGCCTCCCAAAGGCAGTGATTGCCCTTCAAACTGTAACTAAGCCTCTGTTCATTCATACAGCAAATAAAAGTCAATTCCCTGTGTGGAGGAGCTGGGTTGAAAAGCCCTGCAACTGAGTAGAAAACATCCTCTTCATAATTTTTAATATGTTTGATGTGGCCCTTGTTTTAAAGGAAGACTGGGGCACAATCTTTTATGTCCCCAAAGCAGACATCCCTACTGCTGACCATCCCTAGATTTTAAGCTCCCTGCCTTTGAGATGCTTTCCAAGAGGGTAACAAGGTGATGGTGTTTTCTGTGGCAGATCCTGTGACTGATCCACGAACAGCTTTCCCCTGCAGTGGAGGAGAGACCCAGGCTTTAATGAGACTGCAGTATTATTTTTGGGAGACGGTAACTCTTACATTTCCTCGTCTGCATCCTCCTCCTTGTACATACAGCTGTGCAAGTGGGTGAGGCTGCAATTTCACTTTCTACTAATATTTCCTTAGCTCCTGTATAACACTTTACAAAGGAGAGAATTAGCATTATTTCAGTTTTTCAGAGAGACAAACTAAATAAAAAAGAAGTCATCCAGGAACTGGGAATGTAAACCAAATACTTATGAAGCTAGTTTAGTGGCCATCCCTCTTAAGTCTTTTTTTCCATCAACTGTTGGGAATTGGGATAATTTTTAGCTCCTTTATCTTGATTTTCCCTTCCTACTCTCCTGTCCCATGTCATCAGCAATGTAGATCCTCCATTTTGGAGGAGTGAAAAGTGGCCTGAAGGGCTGAAATTGCAATTGGGGTGAGGAACAACCGACCCAAGCTGCTGCCTGCAGTTAAAAATAGTAGGAGGTTCCTAGTAGTCTGGTTTAAAAACTTGCAGCCAATAATTAAAGCTACTTCTTCCTCCCTTACTTTGGTGGAGCGAAGCTGCTGCTGACTGAATTTTGTCTATGCATCCTGACCATTTTTGAACCTTTTCCTGGTCTAGTTTGAGAAACTGCCTTAAATTTGCCTTGTGTGAACTTAGATGAAGACACGAGTGCTGATTTCCAACAGCATCAGAGCCTATGCAGCTTTGTGGATAAAGGGGGTAGCGTCTTTCCAGCTGAGATGGGTTCAGAAGTGTGCTGTGCCCAGTGCGCTCAATGGCACAGCCCCCAGGGGATTCTTTTGGCTGTGCTACAGAAGTTCCTGCCTTCCCTTGCTGTTGGGGAGCGTTGTCGTGGTTTAACCCCACTAGGCAGATCAGCCTCACGCAGTCACCCACTTGCTCACTTCCCCCCGATGGGATGGCAAGAGAATTGGAAGGGTAGAAGTGGGAAAATGCACAGGTTGAGATAAAGACAGTTTAATTGGTAAAGCAAAAGCTGCATGCTCAAACAAGGAATTCATTCCCCACTTCCCATGGCAGGCAGGAGTTCAGTCATTCCCCGGACAGCAGGGCTCCATCACACCCCCAGTGACTTGGGAAGACAAATGCCATCACTCTGAACGTGTCCTCCCCTTCCTTCTTCTTCCTCCAGCTTTATACGCTGACCATGTCATATGGTATGGAATATCCCGTTGGTCACTGGGGTCAGCTGTCCTGGCTGTGTCCCCTCCCAACTCCTTGTGCACCCCCAGCTACTGGCTGGTGGGGTCATGTGGGAAGCAGAAAAGGCCTTGGCTCTGTGTAAGCACTGCTCAGCGGTAATAAAAACATCCCTGGGTTATCAACACTGGTTGCAGCACAAATCCAAACCAGTCCTGTACTAACTACTATGAAGAAAATTAATTCTATGCCAGCTAGAACTGTACAAGCATGCGTAGCTTCTACTCTTGGTCAAGCATTAATATAATCAGTGCTGGAAAACCTGTTCCTTCTTTTTTGTTATGCAAATATTGTCTTCCCTGGTGAGCTAGAATGACCCTTTTGCAGTTGTAACCTGTTCAGTGAAGGAGGTCAAGGAGAGATCAGGCTTCCCTGTGTCCTCTGTGCTGTCAATGGAGTGCCCAGAAAACAGAAGATCTGCACCCTGCTGTAAATGTGGGTGCCCCAGAAATAACAGTGATCAGGATTCCTGCAGCTGAGTGTCGGGCGCTGTCAGACGCTGCGGTTCTCAAACCCAGATAAGCAGCCACACGGACAAGGGAACGCACCACCAGTCCAACTGGTGCTTTTAAGTGTATTATTGATCCAGAGTCGGACGGGTGTGGGCAGGGAGCAACGCAGCCAGTTTCCTAGCTCTTGTAGAAAGAAATGTGCTACAGGCTGAAGCGGGGAGCATAGCTTGTGACATGCATCCCAGAGCTTTAATGAAAACTGCTGGCCTGATTAATTCCTGTGAACTGTACGCAGTAATTTGGCAGCTCTGTAATCCTTGCAGGCAGCCATGAGAGGGAGCCCAGCCCTGCCAGATTGCCCTGGCTCCAGTATGAAAGAAAACATATTTAGCAGGTTGCATGTAAAGTATTAAAACCTTTTGTTCTTTTGCTTGCACAGAACCTGGTTGCCTCTTACAAGGAAACTCGGAATGGACTGGTGGGAATGGATTACTCAACCAAATTTGCACCATGGTAAAGATTTTTGTTGTGAGCCTGCTAGCTCTTCTGCTCCCATCTCAAACGGATGTTATCTGTCTGCTGAGTGCTCAGTGGGCATGGGTAGGGGTTCCTCTTTTTGTTGGGGTAGAACAGCCTCAGAGCTGCTCTTTATTGCGCTTCCAGGCAGCGGTTCCCTGGGAAGATTCTTGCAATTAGGAATTGCTGGAGTGTAGCAGTACTGTGCCAAGAGCCCAGGCTGCTGGGAGCAGTGATGTGGACAGGACACTGGACAGACACACAACTTGTCTTTGCCTTTGTGCTGTTTTGTGTCTCTGGGGTGGTTGAGAGTAGCCAGGGAAGAAGCGTAGCTTCAGCGTGTGGATGGGGCTGTAGCAGAACTGGTTTACTGAATAATGTGGGGCAAGTCACCTCACCTCGCTGCCATTCCATTTTTCTGTGGAGTGAAAAGACAGTTCTGATTATTCCTACTGCAAAAGGATCTCTTGTATAGGTAAATATGATGACTTCTAATTAGGGGGGTTAGTCTCTGGTGCTGGAAGGGCCAGACTTAATTCTGGACTGAAACTGCAGCAGCAGAACTCAGTTCAGCCTCATGCTGAGAGCATCTGGAGGGTTTTCCCAACAGAATTGCAGCATGAAACAATTTTTTGGGGCTGTTAACAGGTCAGGATTTTTTATTTTCAGCTGGCTCTGTGCTTCAGTGGTTGCAGTGGATGTCTCCACCTGGTGGGCACTTCGGGATCCCAGGACCCCTGGCACTGCAGAAGTTCTTAATTTGCGGCCCTCCCTAGAGTTTTTCCAAGCTGGCCATTTGCCCAGAGCAGACAGTCCTGATCTGCCTGCCCTAAAGCGTTCCTCTGTCAGATAATCAAAATCAGACCAGTTCAGATTGCAGCCAGTCATTCACAGCTTATACCGGCCATTTCCAAGCGTTAGAGCTGGTCAACAATTAAGGAAAAACTCTTCAGGCCCTTTCTTCCTGTTTTCCAAAATTCATGAGAACATCAAATGTTTCCCTAAGCCATACTGGGAAATTGCAGTCAAATACATTTCTAGGAAAATCAAGGTAAAAGTTGTTTCTTATCACCCTTTGCGTTGGGGTTTGAGTCTACAAGCTCTTTCCTATCTCGTACAGCACTGAGTTGGAACAAATGGAAGGAGCCCAGTGGGTTGAAATGCCAGAGATGGGTTGGATTCCCTAGTTTTCCTGCTCTGCCTGAGATTTTCAGCAAGTCACTTGCCTTCTGTGGTTGCTCAAATGAGACACGAAGGTACTGAAGGAATATGAGCCCTGGGCATGTGATAAATAGGTTTGTAATAGAAGGAAGGCTGTTCAACAGCTAAGGTTGACATTTGAGATCCGCTTCTGGGTTTGTCAGTGGTGCAGTAACTCACCAGCTGATCAAAGTCTTTTAGGCAAAACTTGTAAAATTTCTGTAAAATGATTTATCTGAGTAGGTCAGAGACTCCTGTGACAGTCATGTGCTGGGACGGGGAAGATTTTGATTCTCAGATTGCAGGGTTGCAAAAAAGTCTTACAACTTGACTAAAGCCATTGGGGAAGTCAGTGGCATAACTGCAAACCAAGCAAAAGTTTTCAGACAACTCTAAACATAAAACCACCCCTCCACTCCCTCCACGCAGAGATCAAGCTGTCGGTCCTGCATTGCATTCAGGATATCATTCTTCTGCTTTCAGGCTGGCGCTGGGCTGCATTTCACCTCGATACATCTATGAGCAGATCCAGAAGTATGAGAAAGAGAGAACAGCTAATCAGAGCACATACTGGTATGTCCCTGCACAATCACTGTGTCTTGTTTTCTCTGAAAAGGAAACTGGCATCTCACGCACAGGGAAGAGTGATTTGTTAACTTTCTTCTTAATTAATGTTTGTTTTTCCTGTGCCTGCTGTCTGGTTCCTCTGGGTTGCACGGCAGTTCTGTTTCAGTATGGATTTATTAGTCTGCCTTTGACATCCAGAGGCTTTAGGCACTTTATAAGTAAAGATTATTAATGCTAGTTGTCATTATTACTGCTGGGAAATTGTGGTTCATGATTTTTAAAAATGATCTCTGTAAATCATCACCATCCCTCTCTGTATTGTTATTATGGGCTAGATGAGAAGGAAGAAGAATGATTTACAAATAAAAGCCAAAGGGTTTCTTATACCAAAGATGTGAGCAGGGTTTCACCCAAAAGGCTCCAGACCTCTGCCCACAGTCCAGCAAACGGTCCCATGCTTGCTCGGCAGTTTGACCATGACCACAGCGTAGCAAAGGGGGAGAGGGGACTGGGAAGTGGGCTTAATGCATCCTGCCTTGTCACCTATGCTCTTCCTCACCTCGCTGCTGGCTGCTCGCCTGCCTGCACATTGTCCTGAAGGAGTCAGGGGGACAGTTGAGGTCGGTGTATCCATCCCTGGGCCGGCCTTGAACTTGCTCACGCACTCTGAATGAATTAGAGCCTGGTAAGGAGCTCTTATGGAGAAGCAGGTTCATGTTGGAGCCTGGCCTAACACTAGACTTGGATGGGAAAAATCCCAAACCAGAAAGTCTGTGCAAACTGTAGAACTACATTTTTGTATTGGTTTGTTACATTTGCAACACGTCAAACAGCACAGTGGTTCGTGAAGAACAGGCAGAACACTGCCAACAATTCAGGCCAAAATATTCAATTCAATTAAAATTCAAAAGACACATAAAATATCAACCTTCAGCTTGTTGAAGTACATGCTTTTTTTTTTGCCTTTAAAGAAAATTAAGAGAGGAAAGATTTCAAGAAATAAACACTTATATTTTTCTGTCTAACAGCCAGCCAGCCTGCCTGCAGCTGGGGTGCCATGGTGATCTGAGCATTTTAAAGTGATAAATAATTATAAAAAAGAAAGTATCAGCTCCTAGGCACTGCAGTCAATTGTACAGTGAAGTACATGTCATGGTGGCTGCACATGAGGAACCAACTGAACCTCAGTATCATGACACTAGTTGTTAGCATTTGGACAGTGTCCTGTTTTGATATCACGTTCTCCAGAAAGATCTTGTAAGCAAAAACATGAGCTGAGCAGAATATTTCCAATATGCCAGAGAGCTGAAGCAGGTCTCAGGGGCTGAGGTGCCATCATTTTATAAGAAGCACTTTTTATATAAAAGTTTTTATAAAAAGTTGTCTATTTTCTGCGTGCCTAGAACGTGATCTCATGAGGTAGACCACTGCAAACCCAGTTTTGTAAGGTGCCTTTAAGTCCCTTACAAAGGTTATTGCTTAAATCAATGCAAAGCTTTTAGGAATGTGCTGACATGCTTGCGGAAGCGCGAAGCTGAATCAGATCCTCGCCCTGCTCTTTGGAGAATTATATCCCAGTTGGGATGGATGAGAAACAGGTTTACTGAAATTCCGCTGCTGCACCAGAGTTAAGGAAAGCTTCCCAAGTGATTCATGCAAAGTTTGCTTTCACTCTAGTCATCCAGGTGCAAGCTAGATAAGTAGGCTTGGGGCAAGAACTGGTATCACAGGAAGGTACGTGAAATTGCTCATTGTGAATAAACCTCACAGTGTTAATGATGGGTGCTATGGAAGCAAAATCTGAATTCAGTGATTTTATCTGACCCACAGTGAAATACAGGCATGGCTTTGTGTTTTAGGGTCGTGTTTGAACTGCTATGGCGAGATTACTTTCGATTTGTGGCCCTGAAGTATGGCAAAAGGATTTTCTCATTAAGAGGTGTGTATGGATCACCATATTTGGAGAGAAAAGGTACAGTCTTACAAAAGGGAAAGCAAGAGAAGTGGCTGTTGGTATTGTGTTGTACAAATGTTCTTCTCACAGCGCTTCTGTCACCACCCTGCGATGTCACTGGAGACCACCGTTAGCAGAGAAGTGCCTCAACAGCATAGTGCTGGACACAGTGTAGACACTGAGACTTTTGCCCCAAATCTGATTAGGTACAGGAGTAGTATTAACACATGTCAGTGGGAAACAGCAGCACAATAAGAGTAAAGACGCTGTTTCCGGAGACGCTCCACCTTTGGAGAGAAGCCAGGCTTCAGGCTTGCCCAAGTTCACCAGAGAATCTGGGACAGAGCAGGAACTGACCCAGCAGCGTGAATCCCAAGAAACCAGATATTCTTTCTGCCTTGCACGATGTAGGAATCGGAATGAGATTCAGCTCCAGACCCAGTCACTTACATGCAGGTGTCGACACATGAGCAAGTACCTAGTCCATATAGTCAGGAAACCGCACAGTTGATGCCAGTGTTGGGTGAGCTGTTCTCCATGTGATGTAGCTGCCCACACCTAAGCATACAGCACTGATTTAGATGCCCTAGGGCAGTCTGCCTGGCATCCAGCTGTTGGTGCAGAGGAGTACGTCTCCCTCAGGGCCCGTGTCACATCTGCCAGGCCTGTGTGGCTGTTTCGAATGCTCTACAGCATCTCAGATGGCGCTGGATGCCAGTGGTGGGCCTAAACTTCAATGTCTGGAGCCAGAGCTGAGTCGTCCCTGCTATCTCCATTCCACTGTACAGAGGACTGTAATTGGCACTGGACTCCTGCAAACATAAAGTCACCCCTCTCATCTGTTCCTGCCCTGCTGCAGGAGCGAAGTGTTACCAGGGGCTTCTGCCAGGTAATTTTGGGTTTAGTATCTGCTACAGAAATGGATTTCACATAAACATTGTCCTGGAGTAAAATTGAACAAGAAAATAGTAGCTTGGGCCAGAGCACAGCTCTGGCCACTTGTGAGGTCTGAGTAATTTTTAATTAAAAAGAAAAGCAAATGGAGCAAATACCAACAAAACAAATAATGAAAATCTGTTAAGGCTCGAACATTCTCCGTGTGCACGACACACTCCTTTGCAACACTTGAAAGGAGGAACAGATCGTCTCTAAGCCTTTGCAGAAGGAACACGGCTTGTTTCTAACACCACTGAGAGGGCTAGCTTCATCCTAATGTCCTGTGTCAACCAAGGTGCCTCTGGCTGTCATTGTTTTATTGCTAACTGTCTGCATCAGCATTTGTCTTCATTAGCAGTTCATTTTTTTTCCCTCAATAGGGCTTCAAAGTAATGAGGTCCCCTGGAAAAAGGACCTTCAGCTCTTTGACTGTTGGAAAGGTCAGTAGAAACTGCAGGTTTGGCTAAGTGTGCTTTTGGTTTCCACAATTCTGCGTGCTAACATGTGCCCTAATGCTAACTCAGACTTATGTCGGGGAACTGTCAGCATGATCAGGGTCTGTCATTTAAACTGTTGCCTCCAAACAAGAATCCAACTCCTCAGCTTGGAGTGAGTGTGGGATACTTGGTCTCCCTTCTGAGACTGAGCACCATACAGGACCAGGCCCACAGGGTATCATGAATGGCCAAGCTGTGTCTGGCTGGTGCATGCTTTGTGAGATGCACTGCAGTCCGATTTTCCTGCCCAGGTGGAACTGTTAAGACCTCTTGGTCCCTTCTGTTTAGTCACACAGAGGCTGACCAGCCAATCTTATCAATGCTAGATTGCCATGCCTGCTACATTTTGTTCTTCTGATTGGTTTTGGTTAGAAAGTTAAACCAGCGTTAGAATAAATCACATCTTTCGTTATGCCACAGCCTTTTAATATCCTTGCTTTCCTTTAGCTTTTATAACTTTGTTGTCATGTGAATAGCAAACATAATATCTCAAAACTTGGAGGGACTACCAGATTAAGTATCAAAATCAGTGAAATACACACCTATATATCTTTCTTCACATTAATGCCATGTGTGTCCATTTGCACACAGGTACAATCAATCTTTTCCTTAACAATAGACAAGGCTCTCTACTTTTCAGGTGCTAACCCTTGGGGACTTGTCCAATACATCCCTCTCTGCGATTAGTCACCTGTCAAGAATTTTCTGTTCTTGGCCCATCTCACTATTGTCTGTATATTTATTTAGCTCTGCAAAATTCCCTGCAATCCACTTGATTTATTGTTTTTCCAGCCTGAGATTTTTCTGTACCTTGTTTTTTTCCATGCCAAAAATTCTCCTTATTTTAATTTTCAGTATAATTTCCCATTTAATTTCCACTGGATCTTAGTGGCTGCCTGCCCGCTAAACCTCACTGAAATCTCTCCCTGCTGCTATACACTGGCACTGTCTTACCTGCTTGGGTGGCTGTGAACGCATGACCACAGATTGGTTTATGAGTGTCCAAAAATGTCATCATGTCCCAGTGCTGGCTTTTGTCTCTGCAGAGGGCAAAACAGGGGTTCCTTTTGTTGATGCCAACATGCGAGAGCTGGCTGCGACGGGCTTCATGTCTAACAGAGGACGGCAGAATGTCGCCAGCTTTCTCACCAAGGACCTGGGTCTGGACTGGAGGATGGGAGCAGAATGGTTCGAATACCTGCTGGTAAGACTGAACCTTTGTGTGTTTGGAGTTGTTTGTGCTCCCTGCTCTGAGTGACAGGCAGGAGGACAGCTCTGCCTAATAAGGAAGGATACAGAAAATGATGAGTAATTTTCAGGCTGATATAAATGCAGGTATATACTGCTTGCAAAGCTCATGTCAGAAAAGGGAATCCATCAACCAAGATGTAGCTAGGAAGTTGCAATGATAGTTTTGATCCTCCATGTGGGGTTTAAGTCAGAGATCTGTCACACTTGAGAAAACTTTTTATGCTTGAGAAAGCATAAATTATGTTAACAGTGCTCTGATTTACTCACCCCAGAGGCTGGGGAGGAGGACAGCCCAGAAATAGAACATAAAAAGAAACATGTTCTGGCCACTGAAGCCAGTGTTGGCACAGCGTCTTTGCATTGATCGCTGTGGACAGAGAAGTCATCTAGTCAAGAACAGGCGAGTATGGACAATAGCTGTATCGGCTTCCAGAGTGCTCCACCCTTGCCGGAGGCACCCTTCTTCATTCTGGTGAGTCACAAACCTCCCTGCCAACTGGAGCACCAATTCGTTTCTCATATGCCAAGCAGCAGTCATGCAAGTGCAGTTAAATAGCCGGGTTCCTTCTCTGTCCTCAGTCCCCAGATTCTTCCTAGGAAGGTCTGAGCAGGCTGGCAGTCCCCAGCTCTGTACAGCTCTGCGTGTCTGTGCTTGGCTGCCATTACCTCTGGTGATACTGACAGACAGACCGTCGGTAGCATCATGCTGAGCAGTGAACTGAGGCTGAGGAAGTGAACTGGCATTTGTTCTTCACCAAACTGAATGGTACAGACTGAAAAAGTGCAAATACTACTATCAGCCTCACATTAAAGATCTTGTCTGTGGGATACAAGAGGCTACTGGGAATTAGGAAACTTTCTACTCACTAGGATGGCTGGAGGTACAGGGAAAGCCCAGTCATCTCACCATTATCTGCAATTAAAAGAGCCTTTTTTATTAATTTAATTTTTTGGATCTTCTTTGGAGCTGGGCTGTGACGTAGCTTTGGCTGCAGAGATCTACAGCAAGATCTGGGTGGGATCTCTTCCCGTTGCTGTGTCTCACACCAGTGCTGTGAGCAGTGGTGGGCTTGCACAGTAACACGGTGCAGGACTTCTGCAGGATCCTCCAGAAACTGCTGTTAGTAGCTCCGTGCAGCGACACTTTTCTAGATGAAGAGCCCCCAGCACATGGCACCAGAGAGCTTGTATCGGGAAAGTGGTGGCCTTATCCTTCATATCCTGGCTGGAATGTGGGATGGAAAATCTTACCTTGAGTGCATTTCTTCTGCAGTTTCAGTGCGTTGTGTAAGATAGCTGATACCCTGCATGCCCTAAGCAGTGACTTGCCAAGCAGGGGCTGCATTTCAGTATGGATTATCTAACTCCTGTAGCCTGAGTGCATTGTATGTGACACATGGTGGCCCTCCAGAAGAATGTGCAAACACGTCTGTGCATGCCTGTCCTGAAGAGTGAGCCACTAGGACCATTGTGAGTTTTCATAGTAGCTGGCTTTTGATGGTATCTATCAGCAGTGGCTTTGAGAGCAGATACAAAAGTGACTTCATTTCACAGAGAAGGCAGCTTGCTTCATGTGCAGGCAAGCCTCGTACTGAAAGTCACCAGCTGATTAGGAGTTGGGAGTCAGGAACTGAGGCGAGCAGCCTTGCCTTCTTCAGGTAGGAGGCTGGTTCACTTTGCAGTCAGATTCAGAGGGCTACAGGAGATTCCAGGCCCTATTCCCCAAGTGAGGAAGACTTGGAGGTGTCACACAGGAAAGGTGCTCCCTGGGTTATTTACCTTTACTCACGTGGGCATGAATGTTACCAGCCTTGCTGGAAGCAGGATTTAGCACTCTGCACTAGCCCTTTCATCTCGGGAAGCCCCAGATGCTGCCTGCCACTGTCAGTTGGTGTGGCACAGGCTGATCTTTGTGCCCTTCTGTCCCTTTCTTTCAGCTTGTGTCACACTGATACATTGCTTGACAGCTCTGTTTCTTTAGCTTGGTGGCATCCCCAGAGTAACATACAGGAGACATCAGTTTGATGGGGGAGAGATTGCTGTAGAATGGTAGAGGCCAGTACAGAACCGAAACTGGTCTCACTTGCCTCCAGAAAGGGAAAGCAATGCATTTTCCACACTTCCAGCAAAGGCCTACAGGGTGTTTGCGCGTGCCTGTGAAGAAGAGGGTTTGTCATCCACACAAGAGAGGCAGGGAGACTAAGGCAAGCTCTCTGCAACCCGCTAAAGCCAGGGGAAAGGCCAGATACCTCTGGTGTCCTGAACAGAGAATGTCTCGGGCTATGATTTCATTCACAGGGTCAGGCCCCAAGGAAAGGGAGAGAAACAAACAGAAGAGAATGCCAGGAAGGGGCAAGGCTGAGGGGGAAATGAGCCTGCCTCCTCCAGTCCCCCTTGGATTTGCCCTCACCTCCCACACAGGCTTTCCTGCATGCTAATTGCACAATCAGGCCTCCGATGGCATCTTTCCTCCCCTGCTTATCTCACCGGCTGGAGGAAGTGCTGCTGGGAAGGGGAAGCCTGGCGCACAGTGAGCATAGCTGGCTATCGATCACCCTGTCCCCAGCTCTCAGCTGGCTTTGCAGAGGAAGGGGGAGGGAACTTGGTGGAGCCCATTCCCCTGTGCCTTCTGGCATCTGGGTACGTTGAGCTCCTCACTTTAAGGAGGAGCTGAGATTTTGGAAACGTGACTGTGTGGACGCGATGTTGCTGTGGTAAAGGGAGAGGAGAACAGCACTGAAGCTGCTGAGTGACATGTCTTTGCAAACTTTCTGCCGCAGGTGCTAGCGCTATGCTTTCGTGATGTGGACACCCCTCCTAGGAATGCTCACAGATCCCACGCCCTGTTTGCTATCACTGCCACTCCCCTCCTGAGCTAGGTTTTAATTGTCCTACAACTGGAAAGCTTCTGATGTTGGATTTAAGCTGCCCTGCTCAGCTGAAGAGCACTCGGACTGGACCATGTTCTGCTCTCATTTGGGCCTGTTTAAGGAGCCTTGCTCCGTTTTACATAAGCATTCTTGAGAGCTTTTTATTTGTTTAGATGTAGAATAACTTGATGATGTACAGCCTACTCAGTGGCTCTACATCACGAGAGCTCTAGTGTTTCCCGTAGTAAAGAACCTCTCTCTGCCAAGTCCCTGTGAGTTGAGGCTGAGTACTGCGGGGAAACAACTGCAGGGTCTGTACCGATTGCATCTTCATACGCTCTGTGTGGTCACTCCATACAGTCATAGACTTTTCTCTAGTCTGCTTAATAGAATCTGCAGAGATGATTTGGTTAGTTGGTGGTCTCTGGGTGACTGCTCAGGGAGAATTTTCTCTTTTATTTGAAATGTACTGGGCTACTTGGAGTACTTACTTTCTTGGAGTATCAGCACTCAAAAGCTAGGGCCAGTTGTCATGAAGTCTGGCAGACGATGGCAGAAAGAGAAGGATTTTTTTTTTTTAAAGAGGAAACTGAGAAAGAGACTTTGGTTGGCCTTTACCTATCTCATTGGCCTAAGGACCATGAAGTGAAGTAGCCTGGGAAGCTGCTCCCAGCTGTACAGAACAGCCATCCAGCATGGTCCTCCTCAGAGCCAGATGGCTGTACCTACTCGGGAGAGCTCTGACTACCCCAGTGTGGCCAGATTGATCCCCATCCATGGAATTCTCCCCTTGAGGTAAGGGGTAGATGGGGAGAGAAGATTCACCAAGGGCCAGCCCAGCTCTTCTTACTGTTTCTTTCCTCTGTTCTCAAGGTGGATTACGATGTTTGTAGCAATTACGGCAACTGGTTATACAGCGCTGGTATTGGCAACGACCCACGGGACAACAGGAAGTTTAACATGATTAAACAAGGCCTGGATTATGATGGCAATGTAAGTCTGGTTCAGCTGTCGTACAATGAGTAGTGCAGCAAAGGTATGTGATAGTTTCAGGGAAGAGAGGAGATCAATTTGCTCTGTGGATACTGCTGCAAAAACAGTTCTGTGATCTCCTTGCCAACAGTCAGGCAGGTTACTCGTTGTATGGAAAGATCTGACGTTTACAATCTGCTGCTGTCCCCAAAGAGGCTGGTGCTCCGTACACCCTCCCTGCCCTGCTGCTCGTCTGCGTGTTTAGTGTTTCATCACCATTTCTTCCGGGTAACAGCCACAGCCCATCAGTATCTCACACAGCCACTTCCCTGAGCACAGAGCAGCGTCTTGGAGAACCCAGAAGTGGCAGGAGAGACAGAACTCCTCACATGGCACCTCGGGAGGTCCTGGAGAGTAGATTAAACCTGTGACTCCTCTGACTATCCTCTGTAAGTGGTGGGAGCAGATAAATCACCCTTTCCATGTGCTCAGCCAGTTTCACATACCGATTACCTGCTTCCACCCTGTTCCTTATCTTCGTGGCAAGCTGCGCTGTTGCCTTTTGGTGCTGTAGCTGGCAGGACTTAGCAAGGAATCAGAAATTAGTCCTAGCAGGGGACACAGCAGTAGAGTTAATGGGAGAGTTTATGGGGCAAGGGCAGTTCATCTTGCCAAGCACAAGAGTGTGCAGCTGAGCTAGTCTCCCCAGATTCCTTCAGTCACTGGAAAGAAAAAAGGACTTCTTGTGAGTGACTTCATCTTACTGTATCCTGAACAGGGCAGGTGAACTGTACCTAAAATCACCTCTGTCTCCCCTCGCTGCCTGCCGAGTGAGCCTGGGAGAGGAGCTCCAGCATCCATGTCCCTCTGGTTAGGCACTAATTCTCAGTAGAGGGTTTAACAGGAGGGGCTAAGACTTGACAAAGGTAACTGATGCTGTAGTACACTAGCTTCTGTACCTGGAAATCAAGTTTCTTTCTTTCATGTTAAGAAATACCCTTGCTGGGAAGCACTTACAGATTGTTACTGAATGGATCCTGTCCTGTTGGTTCTGTTCGCAGGGGGATTATGTCCGGCTGTGGGTCCCAGAACTACGGGGCATAAAGGGAGCAGACATCCACACCCCTTGGGCACTGACCAGTGCTGCTCTCTCCCAGGCAGGAGTAACTCTAAGCGAGACCTACCCACAGCCAGTTGTGACAGCCCCAGAGTGGAGCCGACACATCAACCAGAGGCCTGTGAGTACTGGGAGGGTTTGGATGGGGTGGGAAGGCTCCAGATAGCTGCTCTGCGTCTGTAGGAGCGGCTGTGAATTCTGCTCTTCTTTCTCAGGGATAAAGGGAAAAAATTGCTTTAATACAAACTCAGGTTACTGCAGGGTTATTTAGCTGTGTCTGTCCTACTTAAGTAAGGAGGTCTGAGGCACAAGCCCAAGTACCAGCATCCTGTTATCCAGTTACGCCATTAGTGTATTCCCCAGCACTATTTTTGCCAGGGCCAACAAGCACTTTCCAGAACCTTGTCCAAGCGCGATTTGAGGGCACCACGTGCTAAGGACTGTCACAAAACACAGTCTTGACGAAGCCACCCTACATCATATGGACATAAACTGTGCCAGGCCAGTTGGCTTTAGGGCTGAAGAATGAACCCATGGATGGTTCGTTTACTATTTTATAGGTAGCTCTTCTGACTCAGGTTTTTTCCTTCTGGACATACATAGTGCCAGGTATGAGTGGAGGGATGGGGTATCTCTGAAGGCCTCCCCTGACCTAACCACCCCCCAACGCAGAAGAGAGCCAAGGTTGATGCTCAGTTTCCACTCTGTTCATGAGGTGGAACTCCTACCATGCTGGAGTACATCCAAACTGGAGTTAGCAAGGCCAGTAAATACAGAGACTGGCCCTTGCACTTTGCTTTTTGGGTGTATCTGCCCTTTAGAATGGGGGCAGATTCAGATGTGGATCCTGCAACATATCAAGACTTGCATCTGTTGACTGGGCTGCTGTTCTTGAAGGAGATGGGAATGGAAGGAAAGTGCTCTGTATGTCTGGGTGGGGTCAGCAGTGGTGGAGCTGGAAGGGAAGGAAATGGATGTAACCAGCGGTTGTGTATTTCAATGTTTTTCCAGCATTTTGTCTTCCCCTGTGCATTCTCCCTGCCTCCTCCCGAGTAAGGATATTTTGTGGAGGCTCCAACTTAGTTGCCATATGATCTTCAATGAAGAATGAAGCATGTCTACATTTTGGGTTTTAATCCCAAGGTGCTCTACCAAACTTCTCAGGCCAGGTTCCTTCACCATGAGTGGGAAGTTCTGTGGAAGCAAAGCCTTCCGCTTCTGGCCACGCCGTTGAAGGGCCTGGATTATTACCCTTCTGTTTAACAGTGTGTCTGAGACTGGAGAAAGGACTCTGTGAAGGAACCCTCCGATGAGACACTAGTTTGAGGCAGTGATGACACTTGAACCCAAAAAGTTTATCTGTCTGGCAGGAGTTCCATTTTGATCAACTTTCCAGCTCTGTGGGCCTGCACTGCCACACTCTGCTTGTGAAACGAAAATACTACTGGGAGGGACTGTTGGCCCAATATTACACAGGCCTGGAGAAGAACCTCTCCCCTCAGCCCCCCTAAACTTTGAAAATAGAAGCCGACATCTTACAAAACCCCCTGGTTTCCTGAGTCAAAGCCTAGAGCTGTGCCTGTCAGGCCTTGCTGCCTTTTTGCCCACTTGAGGGTGGAAGTGCCACAACTTTTTGATCACTACTGCATGTCTAGGCTGCTTTGTGATCAGATTCTCTTGGCAGCATCAGTAAATATCTCGCTGTTCATCTTTCATTTGCAGCAGGGAAGAAGCCCCCATCCTAGGGGCAGCAGAGGACCTGCACACACCCCAGTGCAGCACAGAGGGATAGATTTTTACTTCTCTCGCAAGAAGGATGTATGATGAAGGCTCTCCAGGTACGTGCTGGAGAAGCGTTCAATGGGAACTTTTGCTGCTGAAGATGCCAGGATAATGGTTAATCTCCTTGAACCAAGCCAATGACGTAAGTCTGACCACGACAAAGTAACTAGGGATCTGCCTCTTCAGTGTCCCCAGGGACACGAGCTGGATGTGGGTATCTGGAGATTGTGTATTAGCACTGATTGTGGTGATGGGAGCTTGTATTTTCAGGTGGGTGCTTAGGCCGGCGCGGTGAGCTCTTGGGCAGTTTGCCTCTCGCTCTCCAGGGGCGGCTGCCCTTTAGTGCTGAGGGTCCGGCTCCTGTGGACAGCATATCACGCTCAACTCTGTAAAGTCCTTTGGTTGAAAGGGATTAACTAATATTAATTAACCAAAATGGCATGGCCTTCCTGTTTGGAGGAGGTGTGGCTGCTTTTCCAGTGCCTCTGGCTTTGCTTACAGCCGTTACAACGAAACTTCTACCTCCCTTTATAGACCGGAGCAGATGGTTTATGTGGCAGGTGCTCAGTCAGAACTCTTTCTAGTGAACTTTCTTACGCTAATATTTCATGTTTTAAGGCTTTAAAACTACCAATCATTGCGCAATTAAAAGTTTTGCTACTGGAATACTTTATCTTTCTCATTTCCACTGATGCAACAGACATCCATAGAGAGAGTGAGACTTCAGAGCACTTTATGTGTCTCCTACGGTACTTCGGAGAAACAGTAAATTCCCACTTGAGAACTGCCCTGGAGCCCTTGCAGCCCCCAGGTTTTTTCTGGTACCAGCCTGGAAGTTGGAAACTGTCCATTTCATAGACAAGAACCATGTTTTGTACTCAGCACCAAAAACCAGTTTAAAATGGTTCCCTGGACATTTTAAAAGCATTTTGGTTTTATGCAGAATGTTGTACTTCATAGAATCGTGGAATCACAGAATGGTTTGGGTTGGAAGGGACCTCAAAGATCATCTAGTTCCACCCCCCCCCGCCATGGGCAGGGACACCCTCCACTAGCCCAGGTTGCCCAAAGCCCCATCCAACCTGGCCTTGAACACTTCCAGGGATGGGGCATCCACAGCTTCTCTGGGCAACCTCTTCCAGTGCCTCACCACGCTCATAGTAAAGAATTTCTTCCTAATATCTAATCTAGATCTACACTCTTCTAGTTTAAACCCGTTCCCCCTTGTCCTGTCACTACACTCCCTGATAAACAGCCCCTCTCCATCTTTCCTGTAGGCCCCTTCAGGTACTGGAAGGTGCTATAAGGTCTCCCTGGAGCCTTCTCTTCTCCAGGCTGAACAACCCCCAACTCTCTCAGCCTGTCTTCACAGGAGAGGTGCTCCAGCCCTCTGATCAAACCTTCCTTGCTGGAAGAGTTTGGGAATTTGGAGATAGCCCTACGTGTGCTGCTGTGGAGCACTGTGACCCAACAGGGAGCCCAGGTTTGAACTCCCCCATCCCAAAAGCAGCCCTCCCTCAGTAGATGGGACTGGATTTATTACCACTAGGGATCCATGTCGGCCTCCTTCATAAAGAACACTACCATAATTCTGTTAAAGCTCTTTGAACACTTACTTGGGACGATAGGTTCAGGACTGAGAAAAGAACTGACATGGAACACAAAAGCAAGTTCTTCTAACAGAAGGAGACAAATCAAGTGATTTTGAACACACACCCTGTTGGGGCCACGTTAATAATCCCACCGTTTGTTGTATTAGGGGGCTGGACAGGAACGTAGCCATCACGGGATGACTTTGGCGGGACAGCGGGGTTCCCTGAAGCGTCTCCCCCCACCCACACCACGGGTCCCGCGTCTTCCCTCCGGGGCAGCCCCACGGCTCCGTTAAGGAAGGAGCGGAGCCGGAGTGCAGGACGGTAACACCGCGCTGTTCGCCTCCTGGAGAGACAGCCGGGCCTCAAGCCGGGCGGCGGG